ATACACATGAATTACCAAAGCTGAATCAAAAGATATTAAAATTCTAAATAACCCAATATCAGTCAATGAAATTGAAGATGCAATTAAAAACCTACCAACACAAAAAATCCCAGGCCCTAACAGATTCACTGCTGAATTCTACAAGAAATTTAGAGAAGACCTAATGCTGCTACTTCTCAAGGTCTTTAATGAAATTGAAAAGGAAGCAATACTCCCAAATTCATTCCTGGAAGAAACCATTTCCTTGATACCAAAACCAGAGAAGGATCCAACCAAAAAAGAGAGCTACAGACCTATCTCCCTAATGAACATAGATGCAAAAATTCTCAATAAGATACTGGCAAACAGAATGCAGCAAACCAAGATTATACACCATGACCAAGTGGGATTCATCCCAGGGATCCAGGGATGATTGAACATATCCAAATCAATAAATGTAATACACTACATTAACAGAGCCAAGGACAAAAACCGTATGATCATCTCAATAGATGCAGAAAAAGTATTTCACAAAGTCTAACACCATTCATGATAAAAAAGAAAACCTGCAGAAAATTGGAATAGATGATCTTTATCTCAATCTGATAAAAAAAAAAAATCTATGACAAACCAACAGCCAATTTCATACTAAATGGACAAAAACTGAAAGCTTTCACTCCAAATGAGGAACAAGACAAGGATGTCCACTGTCACCACTCTTATTCACTATAGTTCTGAAAACATTAGCCAGAGCAATTAGACAAGAGAAAGAAATAAAAGGAATAAGGATAGGAAAGGAAAAAGTTAAATTATCATTATTGTGGATGACATGATACTGTACATAGAAGACCCCAAAAACTCCACCAAAACACTTCTAGATTTAATAACCAAATTCAGTAGTGTAGCTGGATACACAGTCAACACTCAAAAATCAATAGCATTTCTGCATTTCTGTACACAAATAACAAACTCCCTGACAGAGAAATTAGGGAACCAACACCTTTCACAATAGCATCCAAAGAAATGAAATACCTAGGAATCAATCTAATGAAGGAAGTAAAAAACAAAACAAAACAAAAAAACTCTACATTGAAAACTACAGCACTCTGAAAAAGGAGATTGAAGAGGATATCAGAAAATGGAAAGATATCCCTGTTCTTGGGTAGGAAGAACCAATATAGTGAAAATGGCCATACATCCAAAACTGTTATACAGATTTAATGCAATCCTGATCAAAATTCCAACAGCATATCTCACAGAGAGAAAACAATCCTAAAATTCAT